CTTTTTCTTTCTTCCTTTTTTTTCTCGTCCAGAAAAAAATTGGGGCTCTTGTGAAATATTACAGGAAAATCTTATTTTCCTCGCTAGGGGTTTGTTGTTTTTTTTTTTCCCTGCAACGATAGATGTCCTATAAACCTAATCTAGGAGAAGGGGTTTCCTCGCTAGGGGTTTGTTTGAATACCCCATTTTTCCAAATAATATTTTGCTATTCAGCTAGGCGGCTAGCTCTTTCAGGCTTTTGGCAAAACTCCCGGCAAACTTTGGTAACTTCATGGGGGTCCTAGCACGGCTTACAGTCTTTTTTTATTTTCATATATTCTTTTTAGAATTGCACGCCACCATCCATTCCTGTAAGGTCCATTTTCAAAGACAGGAATGTTATATTTGCATGAAGGTCAAAGAACACCCAACAAAAAAAAAAAAAATTACGTATCGCCGTATACGAGTTTTAAGTCTGGGCACAAAACGCGAATTGTACCCAATTCATAGTTGATTTTTTTTTTTTTTTGGGGAAAGAAATCACAGTTGGACTGAACTTAAGGGACCACAAGAATTTCACCTATTATTATACACAAAAATTGCACTGTTTTCATAAGAATAGTTCTTAATTGGTTCCAAAATAGCTCTTGACCATGCAAGCCGAATGGATTATGGCAGGAACGGTTGCAGGCAGTTGATGGCCAAGATTTGGTCAAAAAAAATTATAAGATTTAAATTTTATCTTATATCTCGTTTTTAACATTATATGTGGAGTCCATAAATTTTTATTTTAAAATTACATGTTGTTAAAAATGAGTTACACCGAATACAAATAAAATTATGCTGTGTATATTATGCACATAACCTTCAAGAACTGTTGCTCCTGCCCCTGTCCAAGCCGAATTGGTCTGAAAATCACGTTGTCATTGGTATTGGGCCCCATTCTATTACCTTCTTTGGGCCCCTCTATCCTTTTGGTCAGACCCTTTCCTCTGCATGAATCTGCCCAACCAAGTCCGTCAACTCTTAATTAAAAAAAAAAAAGGGGTAAAAAGGGAAAACTGGAAGGGATATGTATAAATAGCAACTGCTACAGCCTACGGCGAACGGACACTTCATTTCTTTGGCGCGAAAGAACGGTAGTGACAAACTTCTGAATTCAACATCAACTTCTTCTTCATTCACGATCTCGGTGCAAGGTGCAACCCATTAAATCACATTCCATCTTCCTTATCTGCGTTTCTTCGTCGGTGTTGGACAAATGGGAGAAAATCCCAGTTGGGTACTTCAATCTGGTTGCTACTCCCCAACTCGCCTCCGCAGTCCTGTTGACTACGACTTTCCGGTACTGCACGGCACTTTCTTGATTCATTTTACCATGAGTTCCTAAACATCTTTAGTTTTGTAGTACTTTTTCTCAATGAACTCTTCATGCTTGTGTTCCATAAACTTCACCATATAATACTGAGTTCTTGAATCATTTTCACGCAGGGAGATAGATTTATACCCAATAGGAGCCTGATGGATCTTGATCATGCCAAGAGTTTATTGACAAACAGGACTAAAGAGTTGGAAAAGCCCAAATACAGTGTTAGTCGCTTTTTGTTCTTCTGGATATTCAGTTTTTCTTCACGTTAGTTTTCATTAAGTTCTTGAAGATTCGATTGCTGTATTAGTAATTTTTATGTTACTTTTCTTAATTTTATCTTGTTCATTGCTTGAAGTTTGAGATTAAACTATATCAGATATTTCAGATTATGAGTCTTTTTCTTGGGTTTAAGAACTCATCAAAACTATATTTAATGTGTGCATTAAGTTCTTCAAGACTCACGGTATTGCTCTCCAATTGTCTTTCTTCTTGTTTGAAGACGCCACTGAAACTAATGTACAAATGCTGATTGATCGATCTTGTTGGTGGGTTCTAAGAGCTAATTGATAACTAAAAGCTGGTTCCTCCGTAATTTGGATTCTTGTATTTTGTGTAGAATTTAACATATGTTAAGAGTTTTGAGGTCATTCTACATTCACTTCTTTGGTTTTCTTGATCAGGAGGAGTACAGCAGGAAATTAAAGGAGAATCTGACTCTAGATGTTGAAGGAAGGCCCTACAGAATGCTAGTCTTCAGGGGAAGCCCCAAATCCAGCAGAAAATCCTCGCGCCTTATTGATGAAATGCGGAGAAGTGACGAGGACACAACAAATACTAGGGATTCTAATAAAAATCGATCCTTCCCAAAGGTGAAATTATAAGTGTAGACTATTATAGATTATGCATGGTGAATTATGTGTTTTCTACGTTACCAGAAAAGTATGTTTTACTTTCCCTCCAACTAGTAATATTACATTCTTGAAAATTGAGATCTATTTCCCCAACCAGAAAGACACTGTTAGCAGAATTTTTTGCTATGTTAAATCTGTTTCATTTGCTTTGAAAGCTGCAGCTAAAACTTCTTATTTAGAAAAAGTTCTGGATTTTGTGATGCAGAAAGAAAGTCTTGTTTTGGATGCACCAAACTTGAATGATGATTTCTATATGAATGTCTTGGATTGGGGAAGTGGTAATTTGATTGCTGTTGCTTTGGGCTCAGCCTTATACACCTGGAATCCTAGTAACAGAGCAATTCATAAATTATTGGACGTGGACAGTCAATGTGATTATCCTACAAGTCTAGCCTGGTCGGGGGATGCCAGAAAGATTGCTGTTGGACATATGTGCTCTGACGTACAGCTCTGGGATGCCGAGACTTCAAAGCTCGTACGCGTGGCTTCTTTTAGTCTCATATTTTTTAGATGAACTGACCGGTGATTATTACCTTCAAAAATTTGTAGATATTGAACATTGTGATGGTGAATTTCTTGCGCAGGTTAGAAGCCTAAGAGGCCATCAGAATAAAGTGGTATCTGTAGAATGGAATGGTCACATCTTAACATCTGGAGGCAATGACAAAGCTATTATTAACCATGATGGTACCAGTCTAATTAAGTCTTCTCATCTTCGATGTAATCTTTTGCAAGCATAATAAGCATGTAGCCTCGTTTGCTTAACCTGCATTTCTACGATTCTCTTTGGCAGTAAGAGCTAAGAAGAGTTTGACATGCTACTTGAGAGTACACACTAGGGGTGTCTGTAGTTTGAAATGGTCAAGAAGAAGCAACATTCTAGCAAGTGGGGGAGATGACAACCTTGTCTACATCTGGAACGCATCTAAGATGAGCTCATCACACTACATGTATCGCTTGAATGCTCACAGTGCTGCGGTCAAGGCCCTTGCTTGGTGCCCGTATAATAGTGATGTCCTAGCTTCTGGAGGAGGGCTTCTTGATGGCAGTCTCAAGTTATGGAATGTGCAGAAAGGAGTTTGCATTAACAGCATAAATACTCATGCCCAGGTCGGTCTAGAATAATCATAGTGATTACCAGTAAATTCTGTGATCACCTTTGGTAAATTCTGTAATCCAGTTATGATGAGTTCAAGTCTTTGATGCATGAAGATTGACTGCATTTGCAGAAATTTCGCTATCCATTAGTCCTGCTATCACTTTTGAGTCCCCGAGAGATGATAGTTGAATGCATTTTCTGAAACTTTCTGTTGTATCTTGAAGCCTGGTTCCTTTTGAAGACTCTGTCTATACGAACATATGAATGCTGCACATCACTAAGTTCGATTTCTCATATGGGTGCAGGTATGTGCGTTGCAATGGAACAGGCATCAGAAAGAGATACTGAGTGGGCATGGGTTTAGCTGGGGAAACACTGACTGTGGAAATCAGCTCTGCTTGTGGAAGTATCCTTCTATGTCCAAAATAGGAGGGTCAAGCAAAAGCGATTCCAGAGTTCTCCATCTTACTCAGGTGCCAAAGTTAGTCCATATAAATGAAACAAGAGCAACACTGTAGAAAACTAGTTGCCTGTTGAATCTAAAGATAAGCATGCTAAGAAATCTTAAATTTGATGCAGAGCCCAGATGGATTAAGAGTGGCGTCAGCTGGAGCAAACGAGACCATTAGCATCTGGGAAGTTTTTGGCCCACCTCAGGCTAATGAACCAAGAAGTTCAGGATTGGATAGCCTGTTAGCTTTCAGGGCATCCCCTATAAGATAGATAGATCACTTGAAAATTTCGCAAGACACTGAAAACAATCATCATCTCATCTCTTAGCGTATCTGAGTTCGAGTGTATATTTGTTTGACAGTTATTTCCACTGCAGAGTCTCCAATCACACAAGGTAGATCAACGGACACCTGAAAATAAATAGTATGCTGAAAATAGTTTTCAGTTATTTCCTACGTTTTTCTGAATATGCCTTTCTTTTTTATCTCTTGCATGAATTTTTCGAGTGTTAATACGACTGCAGAATCTCGCACATGGAAGGTTGACCATAACATGACATTATTTTGTTAGGAATCTGAATCTTCATTAGTAGCGGGAGCCAATTTCGGTTCATTATGCTCTGCCTTCGTCTTTTTCTCTTAGCACAATTCTTCAATACCCTCAAACCATCCCGTCTCATTTTATGATTACAGGTTTTATCGAAGAGAATTTTCATGCCCACATATCCTGGCCATACCATAACTAGAATCAATTAGGACTGCTTGCTTGGCCAGTTGCAGTTTGCAACAGGAAATACGCATACAACCACCCCGGGATGGATTTGGTCAAAATTGTGGTCTAAGTGTTTTTTTAACAGAAATGGACCACGGAAGTGTGTGCTTGTCCCCCAATCACCTCATATGCAAGTTCTAGTACTATATATTGTATTCGGAAGGGAACGCTTGACCTTGAGGAGGAGTTGATTCATTCAGCACTTTCTTTCTTCCTATAAAAAATAAAAAAGTGCTACTGCTACGCAGGGGGATCGATTCAAAAGCCAGTGAAGTCCAGTGCCGTGCAGACTGCTGGCGACCTTTCTTAAGGATAGTCTTTCTAGGAAACACATTCTTAGAGATACATTCTTAGGCTAACAGAAGATACAAGGCCATGCAGAGGCAGAGATGAAACAATAAACAGAAAGCAATGGCAATTATACAGTAAATATTCCATTTTGCTCAAGTGTATTGCAGTTGATTGGCAGATTTAGTTCCACATTGCCAGAAAACAAATGCTGGAAACTAGTACAAGAAATTGCTGATGCGTAGTATTATCTACTAGTGTGTGGGATTTTTCCCGAGGCCTTTGAGTTCGACATTGGTCCATTCAACGGATGCTGGTTAAGCATTCTCTTAGAAACAAACTCAGCTTCTTTTGATCTTCCTTCAGCTTCAAGAGCTACTCTTAACTCTTGAAGACAGCTTAAAGGCTGTTGAATTCCTTGCTCTAACAATTCATAGTAAAGTTCGAATGCCTCATTTACTCTTTTGATCTTACACAGACCATTTAAAACTGTGTTGCACACACCCAAATCAACTCTCTGACCACTCTTTGTGCCAAAAAGCAACATCTCACGAGCCTCTAATAGCTTTCTCTGCTTGCAGAGGAAAATAATTAACTCTTCCATATTAATTATATACCCATATTCATAGAGACATCTAACGACCTCAAAAGCTTTATCCCGCATGCCAGCTTTAAATAACACTATTACAGTATCTGTTGCTATATTCAGATTGTGTCTGATCTTTTTCTCTAACATTAACATCACCATGCTGAAGGATTCATGAGCACAACCCTTACTAACAAGCCGAGCTAGAGTTCGATGGAAAATAGACGTTCTAGGAAGATGAGAGCTCTTCAACATCTTCTCTAAAGTCTCATGAGCAAGAATCGGTTCATCCTCCTCCAAAAGGCCCTCAATTAGGGATTCATAAGTCTCAAAATCGGGTACAAAATCTCGCCTCAACATCAAAACCAAGATTTCAAAAGCAGCCTTAACGGTACCTTCTCTGCAATGGCCCATCATAATTGTTTTAAAAGCAGAAGCATCCTGTCTTCCCCTTTTCAATAGCTGCTTGAACACTTTCTCAGCCATCTCTGTCTTGCCACTTTCAGTCAAATACCGGAACATGGGGTTGTATGATGCAACTAGAGGTGTACACCCTGCATCATGCAGTAAGATCTCCTTCTCATATAACTCTCGAAACAATCCCTCTGCCTTCTCAAAATTCCCTTTCTCACAGAAACTCCGAATCAACATACTATATGTTGCTGAATCAGGGTGAACCTTCAACTCTGACATCTTCTGAAAAATTTTGAATACCCCATCTAAATTTCCGTCGCTGCAATGTGCATTCATCAGAGTATTAAAAGTACACGTATCAGGAACAAATCCTCCATTCTCTCCACCGCAACCATCCAATATCTCTTTTACCTTATTAAGCATACGCGCCTCACATAGTCCTTGCACAAGGGTGTTATAAGTAATCTCATTCGGTTTCAGCCCTCGACAGGCTATCTCCTCAAAAACATCTAAAGCTTCATCAATCTCCAGCTTCTCACAATACCCTCTGATCAAAGTAGTGTACGTAACAATATTAGGACTCAAATTTGGACCTTTATTAAGCATACCCTTCATGACATTATGCGCAATCTTCACTCTACCGTCTTTACACAGACCGTCAATGATCGTATTATAAGCAATTACATCCGGCTGGCAGTTAAACTTCTCCATTTTCTTAAAGAATCTAAATCCTTCATCAACCATAGAGTTCTTACAAAACCCTCTTATCAAAATATTGAAACTATACAAATCAGGCTCCACGCCATACGTCTCAAGCATTTCATCAAACAGTTCGAAGACCATGCCGGTTCTGCCCCTCTTGAGCAAAATTGAAAATAAATGATTGAACGTAATAACAGAGGGTGAAACCCCAATGGACTTCATGGTTTTGAATATCTTCAGGGATTCTTTAAAGAGCCCAGCTTCGCCAAAGGCGCGAATCAAACAGTTAAAGTGCTTATCCTCCAGCTGGACAGCCCCATTAGACTTTCTCGGAATGGATAAGAGAAAGTTCCGGGCGGAGTTGAAGTTTCTTGCCTGGCAAAGGAGCTCAAGCATGAGGAAGTAGGATTGAGGAGTGTGGGTGAATCCCGATTTGTAAGCCCAGTGGAAGAAATGGAGGGCTTTGGCAGGGGTTGTGATGAGGCGGAGAGTTTGAAGGACGGTGGTTTGGGAAAGTGAGGATTGGGCGAGTGAGGCTTGAAGATCGGTTGACCAGGGCCTGGCATTAATCAGTCTGGCCATGGTTCGGGCTCTCTTAGTTTTGGTAGATGATGATTTTGATTTGGATAATTGGGCATGGCCATTGCTTCTACCAACCGTAGCCTTGTGATTGCTGTTTTTGGCGGCGGTTTCTGGTTGAGATGAATGGTGTTTGATAAATGGTGAAGGAGGTGGACGTGGTGCTTTGCAGTTGCAGAATGTTTGGGCTCTTGGACTCAAATTGGCGGCCATGTTGAAATGTGTTGGGCGCGCGGCTGCTGGCGCCAGGCGGGTGTATTATAGGAGTGCTTTACCATTTTCTTTTCCTTTTTTCACTGTTTGCTGAAATTGAAAGATCTTCTGGGGATTTAGAGAAAAACAAAAGGTGGGGGGGAAGAGAGAGAGCAAAAATTGTTGCTAGTTTGGAAGGTGAGCATATAAAGTTTAGAAATTGCTCCACCCCTTGCCAAAAATTTGGACATTTAGTTCCACCACCAATTCCTTGTTTATTCAAGCATAAACCATCTGACCATGTAACACAGTACAGGAGATGAATACAAGCTAGTGTCCTTAGTTTAGGTTGTCATCCTAATCCTACTACTGCTACTACATTAGGCAGTGTAGGTGAATCGGGCGCACATTACAGGTTTCCAAGACCTTGGCAACGTATGGACTAGTTATAAAGACCCGACCTTCTGGAACTTTTGTCAATGTGCAGTAGCAGGCTTCCCACTGCTTCTGCAAGTTGGCGCAGCATGTAGAGGATGGTGGTGGTGGTGGTGGTGGTTGGTTTGTTCTTATCACCCTCCCGCAGGGAACCACCAGGGCGTCGTGACAAAGCTCTACCCTCCCATAATCTAGCGACATATCGGCAGGGATTGTGGCCAAAACAGAAGCCAATATCGCTAGCAAGAATGCGACACTGGAGTCTGATAATTTCCTCCTCGTCAGGTGAACTGGAATTAGTCAAGTACTGTAACGGGTCCGAATATAAGAAGTACTCTTCTTCTTGGCCGTGTAGAAGAGGTGGCTAACTAAACACTGAATTTATACACTAATGTTTTCAACAATTGATTCGGAGAATGAGGGGATGGATATCCATCTCATTTACTTTCCTGGCGACCAGACTCACTACATACATAAAAGACAAAAGGTGTCATTGGTAAACATCCACTGCCATACCACTTTCAGATCAGAGGAAGACATAATTGTAGTTTGAAACCAAGTAGTAAATGGACACCACTTGACTCAATTGCGTTTGTGAAGTGATGACTTAATGTCTGATAGGGTATCCATTAAGGATTTGTAATTATCTTTCAAATAATCTTTTGGTGCTGCTGTGGCATTCTTGAAACCATAGTTATGAAAATGCTCAATTAGTCTAATTTATTATAGAATCAATAATTCTTATAAGAATCAATAAAACCTAAATTTAATCAGTAATCCATCAAACTTTAAGTATAAAATTTTATTTAAGTGTAATTATCTAGTTTATTTACGAATTTTAAGTGCAAAAGGTTATTAAGAATGATATTAGCCTTTAAAATGAATTGTGTAACTTATAGGATTTGGGAAATAATAAAATTTTATTAAAAGATTTCAAATAAATTTTGTTTTGAATAAATAAAATAAGAATAAAAGTCTAATTTATAATATAAGAAGGACCAAATAACCAATAAATGGGCTGTTGGTTTCATGGTAATTGTACTTTATTTCTATATGTGAGGTCCCATGTTTGAACCTTAAAACGCTAAAAGCCCTTTTTTCTTTTTTTTTTTCCCTTTTTTTTTTTGTTTCAACTTCTACTCTCTCGGGTGGAGCCGTCAACATTTTATGTTAGGATCTTTTCTCTTTTTTTTTTTTTATGTTAGCAATGAAACATGTAAGTTTTCTTTATAAATATTACGTGTAAGTTGTGCCTATCGTAGAGAAAAGTCCATATGGGCCTGAGTTTACGGGTAGCCCATAAAAGGTAGGCAACAAAATGTCTGGACCTGCAAACCCTTCTATTGTAACACAAGATTTCCCCTTTCTGTGGAAAAGGCCCGTATCAATAATTATGATTTTACGTATGGACAATTCCTCAATATTTTGTTTCTACTCACAGACCCGACCTAAAGGGAACAAAAATGTGATTGAGTATTGGAGTTTTGGAGTGATTTGATAAATGTGAAATAAAAAAAAAATTTGAGGAATCTGTTCATGAAAAATGAAATTTTTTTTAAATTTTTCTAGATTAAAATGGAGGTAATAATGCATAAACATGCTTAATTTAATTGATTAACTTCTGGCAAGGATGATAAATTTATTGGTCGCACTTGCTTCCTGTTTTTAGCATGTGAGTGATGCGATTGTTGATTGATCAAGTAAAAGTTGATTGGTTTAACAAATCCTTTTTTAACAGAAAAAAGGAGCATAGATATTATTGATATTATTATTTCTCGTTCAGCACCATTACATGAGAACGTTGCCAGTTTTCGAGCATATAAGAGAAGATACATTTGACTAGCCCGAAATAAACTTTAATGGAGCGGTCGATTATGGACAAGTTGGCCATTTCAGACCACAGGCTTCAAGAGTTTTTTTGGTATTGGGATTTTTTATAATCTTGCCGTACGCTGGATCTTTGATAAAATTGCAAAGGCACGGCTCCTGTTCCTTGGCATTTGTGCAGCATTCTTTGGTTGGTGGAGTGCCGTTTACGATGGAAGGCAGGCATGGACTCAATGCTTGAGGATTGCAGCCGGCTGCCTCCGCCTTTTGGATTTGCCCCAGACCCACCAGCAACAGTACCACCAAGCACCAGCACAATGCAACTCCAGAGGATTTCATCATCATTATGAAAAGCAAAAAGTGCAGAAGAGAAAGTTAAATGAAATTCTGTAGATGGCTTCAACTGTTTCTTGAAAATTTTGCTCTGCTGAGTAGTGCATTTATAGTTGTAGATAGCGGGCATTGGCTCGAGGATCTCATGAATCAGTGAATAAGAGGACAAGGCCAATAACGCGTAGTGTCCCGTTCACTTGTTCGGCCAAAAATGAGAAAGATACAAAGCGGGTAATTTCTTTCCAACAAATTACCGGAAAAAAAACAAAAGAAAAAACGCCCAAAAACACAAAAAGCCAAAAGCTAATTAATCCTCAGGAGTGAATCAGCAACAGACGTTATCCAAGTTTTGAGAAGTGGGCGTTAATCTTTAAGCAAAATTTCCCATAAACACAAAAGGTCATAAGCTAATTAATTCTCATGAGTGAATCAGCAATAGACGTTATCCAAGTTTTGAGAAGCGGGAGTTAATCTTTAAGCAAAATTTCCCAGAAACACAAAAAGCCAAAAGCTAATTAATCCTCATGAGTTGATCTTTAAGCAACGGACGTTATCCAAGTTTTGAGAAGCGGGAGTTAATCTTTAAGCAAATAATGAGTGAATCAGCAACGGACGTTATCCAATTTTTGGGAAGTGGGAGTTAATCTTTAAGCAAAATTTCCCAGAAACACAAAAAGCCAAAAGCTAATTAATCCTCATGAGTTGATCTTTAAGCAACGGACATTATCCAAGTTTGAGAAGTGGGAGTTAATCTTTAAGCCTTTCAGCAAAATTTCCCAAAAACACAAAAATGCCAAAAGCTAATTAATCCTCATGAGTTGATCTTTAAGCAACGGACATTATCCAAGTTTTGAGAATGTGAGTTAATCTTTAAGCAAAATTTCCCAGAAGCACAAAAAGCCAGAAGCTAATTAATCCTCATGAGTGAATCAGCAACAAATGAGAAGCGGGAGTTAATCTTTAAGCAAAATTTCCCAAAAACACAAAAAGCCAGAAGCTAATTAATCCTCATGAGTGAATCAGCAACGGACGTTATCCAAGTTTTGGGAGTTAATCTTTAAGCAAAATTTCCCATAAACACAAAAAGCCAGAAGCTAATTAATTCTCATGAGTGAATCAGCAACGGACGTTATCGAAGTTTTGAAAAGTGGGAGTTAATCTTTAAGCAAAATTTCCCAGAAATATAAAAAGCCAGAAGCTAGCTAATTAATCCTCATGAGTGAATCAGCAACGGATGTTATCCAAGTTTTGAGAAGTAGGAGTTAATCTTTAAGCAAAATTTCTCAGAAATACAAAAAGCCAGAAGCTAATTAATCCTCATAAGTGAATCAGCAACGGATGTTATCCAAGTTTTGAGAAGTAGGAGTTAATCTTTAAGCAAAATTTCTCAGAAATACAAAAAGCCAGAAGCTAATTAATCCTCATGAGTGAATTAGCAACAAACGTTATCCAAGTTTTGAAAAGTGGGAGTTAATCTTTAAGCAAAATTTTCCAGAAACACAAAAAGCCAGAAGCTAATTAATCCTCATGAGTGAATCAGCAACGGACATTATCCAAGTTTTGAGAAGTGGGAAATCTTTAAGCAAAATTTTCCAGAAACACAAAAAGCCAGAAGCTAATTAATCCTCATGAGTGAATCAGCAACAGACATTATCCAAGTTTTGAGAAGTGGGAGTTAATCTTTAAGCAAAATTTCCCTTAATCCTCATGACTGAATCAGCAAAGGATGTTATCCAAGTTTTGAGATAGTGGGAGTTAATCTTTAAGCAAAATTTCCCAGAAACACAAAAAGCTAGAAGTTAATTAATCCTCATGAGTGAATCAGTAGCGAACATTATCCAAGTTTGAGAAGTAGGAGTTAATCTTTAAGCAAAATTTCCTTTAATCCTCATGACTGAATCAGCAATGGACATTATCCAAGTTTTGAGAAGTGGGAGTTAATCTTTAAGGAAATTGGAGTTAATTTTTTAAGCAAAATTTTCCTTAATCCTCGTGAGTGAATTAGCAATGGACATTATCAATGTTTTGAGAGGTAGGAGTTAATCTTCAAGCAAAATTTCCCTTTCAGATTGTAATTTTTAAAAGTTTTTGTTAAAAAATATACCGTAACAATATGATATCCATGAAATAAAAAGATCATTAAAAATGTCTTGGAAAAAACTCACACTCCAATTATTAGTTGTTACTGTTTCTAATTAAACGAAATGCTTTTATATTTTAACCGAAGATTTAAATCCATAAACTGACTAGTACAAGAGTATAAAATTACGCCTCAGTATAGATTAGATACTTTCGAAGATGCTTTTTTCAAAAACTTTGTTGCTGCGATATATGTTAAAATTTTTACAGTAAATGTCAGTTTGAATTAAATGTTTTTAGAATGTATTTTGGAATGTTTTAAGAAATTAAAATTTTGTTGAGATATTTTTAAAAAAAATTATAAAAATTTTCCGCCTCCCACTACCCCTCTCCTCCTTCCTCTTTCTCCCCTGTCCTCTTTACTCATGAGTTTTATTTGTAAAATATATTGAGTTACATGTTTGAAAATTCCAGTTGCTATATCTTCAATTTAATTCCATGTTGTACGCAATAATAGCTACTGTATGGTGCGAGAATGATTAAAAAAATTCTTCAAAAACAATATTGAGTTACATGTTTGACAATTTTCTTCAAAAAAAAAAAAAGGTCGCAAAGATATTATTGATATCACTTCCAATTCAACACCATAACATGGAACGTTGCTTAGCTTTTGGGCATAGAAGAAAATGCACAACTACTAGACCCGAAACAAACTTGAATGAAATTTTTTGGTGACCTTTTTTATTTTTTTCCTTTTCTTTTAGGAAAGAGTAAAAGTGCGGGGAAAGTTGAATGAAATTTTTAGATGTCTTCAGTGATTTTTCGAAAACGTTCTTTGTTATCCTTATAGATAAAAGGTTAGTTGGCTGAGGAAGTGAATATTAAAGAAAAGGAAAAAAGGACAAAGGGTCAAATTTATTATGTAACTGAGACCTTGAAGAGCTGGTCATTACATCCCAGAGCACGCACCCTGTTGCATTAACTTCTTAACCAAAAATGAGAAAGATACAAAGTCGGCCATTGCTTTCCACCAGAAAATACCAAATGTATTAAATAATAAAAAAATAAAAAAAATATACAGAAAGACAAGAGCCAAAAGCTAATTGACTTTAATGGATGAATGAATAATGGGCCTGAGTTTATGATATACCCATTTAGGGCAACAAAATGCCTGCTTCAGCCCTCGTAGGCCATTGTGAGGCCCACAAGTAAATGGCAACCAACCCAATCAATTTCAGTCCAAACCCGAAAGCTCCACAACTCTGTCGTACACTCGTACTCAACAGTCACCGCAAACTGTGAGCCGGTTTTTCAT